ACTGATAAATGTGCAACAACACAAAATTAAAACAAAGTCAAGATTAACGTCTGAAGTGTGGGAAACTTATACAATGTATTTTACCTGTTATAGAGTTTAATTCTCAGATTTATGAGTTAACAAAGTCCAAAGTAGACAAAGTAGCTGTAAACAACCCAAATCATGAATGGATAGCAGTTTATGCAAATGTTATGTTTCCCATTGTTTTTAATTTCTCATTTAAATTTAGAAGCTGATTAACAGAGACAGGTGTCTCTGCAGTCACTTAAGGAGGTGGTTCTTGGTGTGTGGGAGGAGTCTGTTAAAGTTGTGAATGGCCAGATTAATTATTTTGGGTGGGGTTTGAAGAAGCCATAACTATTTGGTTGGATGATTCTGGGCAACTGAGTGGGGATGTGTAACTCAATCAAAATTACCAGAAAATAATCTCTACATTTTTAAAAAAATAAATATTAATTTTAGTCATAACTTGAGACAGGAAGGTGCTAACCCCACAGAATTTGAACGCTGTTCATGTAGAGTGATGTGTAACAATTTAGCTAGAGAAAAACTCTAACTTCCCAAGAAAAAGATAATTTTTTTGATTATGAATATTAATATTAGTCCTAACCCGAGACAAGAAGGTGCTAGTCACAATCATATTTCCATGTTCACAATAATTTTACTATTACCATTTCTTCATCTTTTAACTTCACCCACAAAACAAGTCAATCCAATCAATCATGATTTTGCCAAACTCTGCCTACCCAAGAACTCCACCAAACAGGTGAGACAAACTCTGCCCACACACCCAGAAACTCCCCCTATGTTCCGCAGAGACCCCGACTGCGATCAACTCACTGCACCTGCAAAGGCTATAATCTTGACCAGGTGGTCGGGCTGGATATCGTGGCTCAGGATCTGCTGCTGCTCTCGTGTGAGCTGGATCTCGGGGCTCCTGGCACAAACATCAACACAAACAACAAGGTAAACATCAACTGAGAATAATAAGAAATAAAAGATAATTCATGTTCCTTTAGGACAAACGCTTGTTTATTGTTTTACATCATGCTGGTTTTAACTACAATTGCWGCTTTTCTGCTGAGTTCTGGACTCACCCGATCTGAGAAGAGACAGAAAAGGGTCCATTCTCCAGCAGGTAAAGCACGTAGTAGATGTTATAATGTAACCTGTGGAGAGAAACAGACGAGACAATTAAGAACAGGATGACAAAAATGMGGCTCAGACATGAACGCTGACTTGTGTGGGTCAAACCTGTTGCTGATGTGAATTTCGGACCTCTCTATAGCGAGTAACATTGTGGCCATGTGGCTGAGGTACTCTGTGATGGCTGTTAGAGACATGCAGCCTGCGAGCAGAGACACCAAGTCCTGCACATCGCCGACACTCTCGCTGAGCAGCAATATCACCGCCATGGCTGCATACGGGTTTGGGCCCTGGAGACCAGACAGAAAACATATTATTCCCCGCCAAAAAAGGTGCTTGTTCCAGCAGAACTGCTCTGTATCAGTGTCCAACCTCGATGCCAAGGTGAATCTCCTGAATCTTAGGAATATTTAATCGGACAGAGGCTTCRGCCTGAGGAAAGAGGCGATGCTTCTTCACGCACTCCAGAACACTCTCCGGCCGCACACGCTCCCCGATTTTATGCTGAGCCATCAAACTGCAAAAGATTGTTGAGTTGGATGGTGAACTGTTGGTCTTCTCTGAGGTTCTGAGCTCTTAGGAGCACGCTGTATTTGGGAGTGAGGGGCTTTTGAATTTTCCAGGCACATAATTTATTTCCATTCCACAATCTATGTTACTTTCATTTGTTCTGAAAATGATGTAAATATAAAAAGTAAACTTGACTTTACATCATAGTCTATTTTTGCTTTAACCGAAACACGATTTCACAGGCTGTTAT